TTGTCATCTTGCTAGCTGCTACCGGGGCCTTCCTGGGGGACAGCTGGCTCAAGCTATCCCTGGTGATCCACAGTGCCAGCCATGGTGAGTAGGGGGGTCTGGTGGTGACCAATACCTGGCAGACCTGAGCAGGGTCCTTTGAATGATGAGCCCCCAGAGAAAGGGGTCCAGCTGCTCGGCACAGGTAGGAATGGGACCCACGCAGGGTCTTCCTCAGCCTTTGAAAAGAGAATTGGAAAAAACAAAGAGAGAGCACCAGAGAGAGGTCTGCATCCCTGTAGCTCAGGCGCTTCCAAGCCTGGCCCTGCCTGAAACTATGGCAGCCACAAGCCTGGGCCCACATGAGCGAGGCCACAGCCCAGGCAGGGGGGAGTTAAGCCTTCTCCCTGAGGTTCTAGGTGGCATTGCTGTCCATTTGGCACCATTATCATGATGGACAATAGCTCTGAATGGATGCCTGGGGACACCAGTCCTGCTTCCTGATGAGGTCACGTGAGCCCAGCCTCTGTGAGCTCTGCTGCAGACATGGGTGCAGGGCCCGTGGGCTGGCCCCAGGAAGGTCATCTCTCTGCACAGCTGCAGGAGCGTCAGCCCCACCTGATGCCTGACCCACACGACCGTGACCCAGATTGCTCAGGCGCCAACAGGGTCCCCAAAGCCTGACAGTTATCTGGGCAAGAACTTGGGAGCACACGTCAAAAGGCACGGCCACGTGGCCCTGAGTGACCCCTGAGCAATGCCTGGCCCTCTCTGGGCTCTGGTCGCAGTGGGTCTGGGAGGGGCAGCCCCAGCGCCAGCATGCTCCCTAAGACAGCCGTGGGTCCTTCTTACCCGAGCCCTGCTGGGTGGCTCCGACCTCCTGGAGAACTAGGTTCAACATGGCAGTTTGGGGATGAAATCCTACTTCTAAAAAAACAGCACAAACCACCGGGACGTCACTTGGCTGTGCACAGAGCTTTTGTCAGGCGCATGTGTGGCCCCACCTGGCCTACTCCCCTCTATCTGCCCCATCCACCTGGATGGCCGGGTTTTTCATAGAAATGGGGTGCGGTGTCACAGGCATGGCCCGTGTGCCGAGGGGGCCTGTGATCTTTCTTGGCATTGCTGCAGTGTCTCCTCTGAGGGAAGTGAATCGATCACACCGTGCATCTGCATTTACACCAGCTGGCAGAGGCTTAATTACACCCTCGGTGCATGACGCGGCCTGCGGGAGACCCGAATGGGGCAGCGGCCCAAGGCCTGTGTTGGGGCAGCTGGAGCTGGATGACGTGCAGGAAGATGAGCAGTGAGCGCCAACTCTCGAGCGCTGGAGACGCTGCAGAAGATGTTCTAAGACAAAGCAACAGGACTCCAAAGAGGGAGGGTGGGTTCTGGGACTGGCTGCTGGGCTCTCAGCTTGCATGGCCTTGCCGAGGACAGTGCTTATTTGCGGGAGACTTTCTGCAGCCCAGAATCCAGGTGCAGGTGCCCGGGGAACTCAGGCCTGGCAAAGGCAGCTCTGTGCCCACGGCCATGGGGACGGCCCCACTGGACCGTGTCCTCAGGACTCTGGCCAAAGCTGCAGAGATTAGAGAACAGGATGTGGTGGGGGGTGAGGAGAACCTGGTCTGGGACCCAAGATGAGTCTGCACTGACCAGGAGCCCGCTGCCTGGCGACTGCCCGTCCTGTGCCATGATGGGATGCCTGCCCAGGTCCATGGGGGACGCCAACGACTGCCCCCTCCGGGGTCTTCCCCTCAGGCTTGGTATTAGAGCAGGGGTCTGAGGCTGGGGCGGTGCGCTTCTTCATGGAGACAATGGCCTTGCAGAACCCTCTGAAGCAGCTGTGTAAACTCGGCGTGGGAGGAGGTAAGGCGCTCACATCCTCGATCCTTTCCCAAGGGGGTGGATGGAAACAAACAGAACCAGAGCTGCCTCTTGGGGTCTCAGGCACAGAGACAGGCGCTCGGCCCCCACCGCGGCACCTCGCAGACCCACAGGGCACACCCAGCATGAGCCACTCCCCAAAGCGCCTGGCGTGACCAGGGCAGCAGCCCTTCGGAGAGTTGAACACCTGCTGTGAGTCAGCGCCCTGTGGCCCCCCAACCCTGACACCCCACACTGCCTGCCAGGAGTGGGACATGCTGCAGCTGGGCCAGCTGGCCATTGGTCCTCTCTGCTCTGGAAAGCTGAGGCCTGACCGCTGAGGGCAACACACCAGGCCTCGGGAAAGAGGTCTGAGGTCCTCTTGCTTTGTCCTGGGCATGGCATGGGGCTGGAGCAGACAATGCTAGGGACATGCCTGACCAGGGGCTCAGGGAATGGAAGGCAAATGTGTGGCTGGTCTTCTGGGATAACGTTCAGAGCTGCGGGACGGCAGTAAGGCCCTCTGAGGTGCAGCCCCGGCCCTCCCTGCCCAGGGTTTCTGTGCCACCGCCGTCCACCACAGTCCACCCAGGCAGCAGGCCCCGGAACTGGGTCTGGACCTAGCCATCTGGCCTGAGGCTGCTGGGAGCCAACTACCCCTGAGCCCTGAGGCCACCACCCTGATCCCTCCCCACCTGGCTGTCAGGAGTCCTGGCTGGGACAGGACTCAGATCCACCGCCACACTGAGTCCAGAGAACGGGTCCTCATCCCAGTGGACCAGGAGGCCGAGCCAAGTGAGCTGTGAATAATCCAGGGCAGCTCGAGGCCACCGGTCACATGGTTCGTGTGGGTTCTTTTCAGATCTGATTTTCTACATGCACTGGTGACTGAATTTCCTTCAGTTATCTTTTTTTTTAAAGGTAATATAACAACTTGCTTTTCATTAGTGCTTGTCAAAGCTGGCTTCGGATTACTTGAACAGAAAGCTGGTCTTGTAGCTTGGCGGATATTGGGGGGTCCTCAAAGGTTTGTTGAGTGTGCAGCCCTGAGTGGGTTCTGCAGCAAAAGCAGTGACTAATTAATGCCCTGCCGCCCCAGAGTGGGTCCCAGTTACCTTGGTGGCCATGAAGTCAGAGCAGACCTCATTCCTCCCGAGGCTGGGAGCCCCTGGCTGGGCATCCTCAGACAACAGGGGAAGGTCCAGCAGCAGGTGGCGCCCCTGCTGCTGGACGCTCAGGCCTCTGCCTGGAGTTTCCTCCCACTGGCTTGAGACCACAGGGCCACGCGGCCTAACGGGGTGTGGAGTGGGCACAGTACGATGCCCAGGCTGCTGCAGGGGCACTAGGTCGCCAGGGCTCTGTATCCAGCCAATTCTGGTAGTTTACGGATGAACTGTGGTCCACCCAGACAGTGCAATATCATTCAGCAATGAAAAGGAAAGAGGTCTCAAGCCACAAGAGGGCAAGAGGAACCTCAAATGCATATTACTTCATACACGAGCCAGCCCGACAGTGAATAGATCAGTGGTCACCGGGGGCTGGGGAGCAGGGGGAGGATTGTTAGGGCAGTGATGTCACCGTCTGTATGATGCTAAATGGTGGTCACATGACTTTGAACATCTGTCCAAACCTACAGAAAGTACAACACCCAGAGTGAACCACAGCCTGAGCTGCGAACTCCAGTTAATAACAAAGTATCAGTGCTGGCTCATCAGTTGTAACGAATGTATCAGAAGATGTTTACTATGGGAAAACCGCTTGGGGGGAGAGGGGTCTGAGGAAATCATCTACACTCTGCTGTTTTCTGTAAATCTAAAACTGTCCTAAAAATAGTCTGTTGATTACAAAATAAACAAACAAAAAGCTAAAATACCGGGCAGTGAAAGCAGGTGAATAGGGCTGGGCAGGGACGGCCAAAGTGCCCCAGGGCTTTAGGGCCATCGTGGGGCAAAGGGCAGTTAAATTTAGACTTTCTGGTAGTTGACTGAGCATGTACTCACTTGAAAAAAATAGAGTTATAACTTACTAGTTAGGAGAGAAAAATAATGGAATGAGAAAAACCTCAAAGGAAAGCTAAAAGGGACAAAAAGAAAATAAATGTAGAAATAAAGACAGCAGAGAGTGCACGTCAGCCGCAGTTTGGAGAGAAACCAGCTCTGTGCCGTTACGAGGCCACAGCAGACAAAAGGACACAGGCTGAAAAGAGAAGGTGACAAATCCAGACTCTGCAAATATATGAGAATATTATGACTTTTTTTGGCTAATAAATTTGAAAACATATGATATGGACAAATTCCCAGGAAAATGTTTACCCTAAAGCTGCCTTCAGAAGAAAAATGGAAACCCTGCATGTCTGACAGCCACCAAAGGCACCAGTCAGTGCCCGGACACCCGAGAGGCCGGGCGGCTCGCATGCACGGGGCGCTGTCTCTGTCCTCTGGAACGCACGCACAGAGAAGGGGCCGTCCCTCCACGGGCTCGGTGAGCGTGACGGGAGACTGAGCAGAACCAGTCAGGCCCGTGCAAGATGGAACATTACAGACAAGTCTCGTTCACTGACAACCATGCAAAATCCAAAACAAAATGCTAGCAAAGCACGCCCAGTAACATCACCATACACGGCACGGTTAACACGCTGGGTTTATCTGAGGAAGGTAAACTTGGTTCAGCGTCGGCAGTACTAATGCGACTCACCACATTAACAGATTGAAGGGGGAGAAAAGTGACCTCACAGGTGGTGGGAAAAAAACATTTGTTCAAATTAAACATCCATTCATTTTGGGACTAAAAATACCCAAAGCAAAAATCGCAAAACAAACTTCCCACTAAAGCAGAAACAGAAGAGAACCCGATAAAGGCAGCCGCAAAAACCAACCAGCCAGACCACCTCTGGTCACGTCTCGCCGGGCCGGCGGGCCCCAGGCCTGCTGCCTGTTGCGCCTGCGACGCGCCACAGTGCACAGACCCGGGACACACGGGGAAAAAACCAGGAGTGGGACTGGCAAAGTCACGAGGGCACCGCCACTGTGGCATGTATCATGGGTACCCGTGATAAGAACAAACAATAAGCAGGACACAGAAACCTTAGATCCAGACAGTGTTTTCCCTGGGAACTGACAAGCCACGCTCGTACTCTCGGGTCCGCGGTGACTCACCTGGAACAGGACCTGCAAGGCGCCGTGAAGGATGCACATCCGCCGTCCCAGGAAGATGAAGAAGGGCACCACGAGCTCCAGGAAGTGGTTGCTGAGCGTCTCAAAGCGATGGACCCACCACGGGGACCGGTGCAGGAAGTAGGCCACGGGGTTGGGCACCGGCTGCGTCTGTGGAATAGGAGGCGGCCCGTGAGCTGTGCCCTCAGCCCCACCTCACGGGGGACCCCCGACGGCCTGTACTGCCCACTGGTCGGCTTAGGAAGGAGAGGGGGCTTTTGGGGGAAGACAGATCCGGGACCATCTGGTCGGAAAAGGCATGGGGGAGGCTGGTGCGGCTGGTGCTTCCCCAGAAGCCCGCCCGCTGCCAAGACACAGATGGCCAGGACGGGTGATGGGGCACCTGTCTAGGTCTTTCTGAGGTGCACACCAGAGGCCCCTCCCCAGCACGGTTTCCTGTGACTCTCACACAGACCCATTCAGGGGCCTCGAGGGTCTTGGTCACACGGGAGCTCAGATGCTGGGGAAGAGCCTGCGGTCAGGGCCCTGAGCGGCACCGGGCACTGGGGGGCCCCGTTCGGAGGACAGGGTGCTGCAGGGGGCGGACTGTGGGCCTCAGGGGAATGCTTACACGTGAGAGACGTGTGCCTGAAGGCCGAGCAGGCTAGGGAACAGGTCTCGGCCCCGAGTGTGTGTCCCTGCAATGCACATGTTTGAAGAGGGCAAGCGCAGTGCATCCCAGGAGGCCTGAGTGTTGATTCCACCACGGTGCCGGCCACCCCAGGGCCCAGCTGACAGGCCCTGCACCTTGGACCACAGGCCCTGTGTGCCCCAAGACCCCATCCTGTAGCTGAGGCTGGGAGCAGGCCACACAGAAGGTCACGTGGCCACCAGTGCTCAGATGGGCCGACTGCAGACGCCGTGCGGGACTGGGTACGCCCCTGTCCACGAGGCTCGCTGCCCCATCAGAGAGGCCCCAGTGTGACACTCGGCCACTGGTGAAGGGCATGGGTCTCACTGTGCACAGGGACACCTCCACGCCGACAGGACACCAGGCACTGGGGCTCCAGGCCCAGGGGGACCTGCTGCGCCCCCTCTCACACGAGCTGCTCCCCTTCCTGTGTGTGGAGAGCATGGCGACTCCGGCCGGGGGCGGGGGCGGAGGTCTGCTGCGCCCACACCCCGCCCCTGCCTGGGCCTGGCCCGCCAGCTCCACACGCTCCAGGGCACTCACGGGTACCCTTCTCCCTCCCGGGGACTTATGTTCTCTGCGTGTACACACACACACACACACACACACACACACACACACACACACGCAGAGACACAGGGGCTGCTGTGTGGGCAACAACGGCCACTGTCAGAGCAAAGCTGGGCTAGAGACATAAGTGAGTGATTGCTGGTGCGCCAGCACAGCTCCAGTAATATTACACACACTTGACCTTGTCACACACGCTTTAGATCCCAGAGGAAGAAAGTGCCTCTTGCAGTAGCCACGGGAGTGCTGGCCCAGCCCCTTGTGACCTGCTCCCCGGCTAGTTTCTCCCTCACCTGCTGCTTCGCCACGTGGCCTCCTGGCCCCAGCGCTGGGCCTGGCTGCAGCCTGGCTCTTACCTCTGCCCTGAGCACACTTCCTCTCAGATCTGCCGAGGGCACTAGGAAGTGCCTGTCCTGCTGGTGGCCTACTGTGTGACGGGCACACAGAGGTGACTGCTGACTATGAGGACACACTTGTCGAAGTGCAACAGCCTGGGCACCCTGCACAGTGTGGGCCTTCTCTCTGACACTCAGCGTGAGCAGCAGCTCTGGTGAGAAGCCCCCAAACGACAGAGCTCCTGGCCGCCAGGCCGCCCCTCGGCTCGGAAGTGGAATGGCAGCCGTGGAAGGGTTGCCGACCCACCTGGGAACGTGTTTTCCCGTTAACTTTTCACTTCATTTGGACACGGTTCCTGACTAAAGTTACGAGAACAGTACAGAAAGTCCCTGATGTTTCCGTGTTACCTCCCCTTCCTCCTCCTGCCACCGCAGGGGTGTCTCCTGAACCACTGAGAGTCAGTGGACACAACAGGCGGTGCCCTGAGCCCTTCGGGGCTGGAGTCCCAGGGGCGCTCTCTCGTCTACACAGCAGCAGTCACAGCCCGGGCCCCGGGCCCCAGGCCAGTCGACGGCTCACGCCTTCCACAGAAGTCCCAGGTCGCACACTGCCTTTCGCCTCCCGTCTCTTGGCCCCGAGCACCAGGCACTGACATTCTGGAGCACATGCCCACTTCCAGGACACGCCTTCAGTGTGGGTGTGTCTGCCGTTCCTCATGGCAGGCTGGGCACCCACTTGTGGCAGGAAGACCCCAGGGGTGACAGGCGCCCTTCCTTGGGGCTCAGGGTGTCGCTGTGTCTCAGCACAGGTGGTTCCTTGGTTAACCGGGGTCTCTTGGTTAAGCGATGTTGGCCAGGGCCCTCCCCTGCAGAGCTGCGTTCTCCCCTCAGCAGTGTGAGGCCCTGCCACACCCAAACGCCCCACCTTCCACACCTTCCATGATCTTGCTGGGGTCAGTCGTTCCAGTGACTATTGGGACAGTGAGTCCTGAGCCCGTTACTCCTCCTGCATGGCTGGGGCCGTGTTGAGGCTAGAGCGACCGCCAGGTGTGTCGCTTGCGCCGTGGGCTGGCGGCGGGCTGCCGGGAGGGGAGGCCCTCTCCTGGCACACAGGAGTGTTTGCTGCTGGCAACGCCAGGAAGGATGTCGGACAGACAGATAGTGACAAGACAACCACTCCTCATTTCCCCCAAGTCAGGAGGAGCCCCCGGTTCCATTTTAGGGCCCAGTTTCAGAAAGGGGTACATTCTCGGCGGTACACGCAGGTAGGGTGGCAGGCTGCTCGGCCGTTTTTGGCTGAGGGATAGCAGGCCCTGTGTACTTCACTTCTTTATTGGTAAAAGGCCCTGCTTTCTCCTACGGTTCCAGCTATAGCCAACAAAAGCAAGTTTTGACAAGATGGCCGCGTCCTCTCCGCAGTGAGGGAGGCTGAAACGGGAGCCCCATGCCCACTCCAGCTGCCCTGTGGGCTCCTGGCACCCACACAGCCTCTTCCGCCCACAGCCACCAGACACACAGAGAAGGAAGAGGAGGCCTAGGGTCTCTGTGCCCCCGACTCCACTCCATAAGCAAACGCAGGTGCTATTAAAGCAGGCTGGATGGCATGACAATGCATTCACAGCTATGTTAGCATCACTGCTAGCTCCAGGCCATGCTGACCCTCACCAGCTTGTCTGGGCGGAGTGGATACCCCGAGTCCCACCATGGATGGGGATGTGGCCAACTCAGGTCTCAGGCAGCACAGATTTGGGTCTGAGGACCTTTCTCTTCTCAACCCTCAGGCCCCCTGTTGAAAAGGGCACCATGTTCCTAGGCTAGAGAAACTGAATTTTATAAGTCCAGCTCAGGACTGGCCAGAGAGCAGGCACCGCCCCCCCCCTCCCGCCAGAGAGCAGGGAGCTTCGTGGCTTGGGGATGGGGGCCACACCACAAGGATGGGGGTACCTGGGGCTGAGTGGCCCCAGCTGCCAGCCAGCAGGGAAACACAGACCTTGTGCAGAGATGTCCCTGCCAGCCGTCCAACTCTCTGCTTGGCCCAGGGGTCGTGGCCAGCTGTGCACAGGGCCTGAGGTCTTTGCTCTGCCCAGCCCCCCAACCCAGCACCAGGTGTAGCTGACATTCGGGTGAGCTGGGAGGTGAAGGCCCTCTCCTAGAGGTGGCAGGCACACAGGCAGGGCTCCCTGGCCGGCACCTGACTGGGGAAAAGTGAGCACAGTGCATGTCCCCTGGACCCCGGGACACAGCCTCCCCATTCACCGTCACCTGGCTCTGACTGCCCTTGGGATCCCCTGGAAGAGACGGCCCGTGTCCCTTGACCTTTGGAGCAAGCTGCCTGGGGCGGACTGACAAGCACAAAGGCTCTGCATCAGCTGTGCAGAGAGGTCTGTGGGGCCTCATCTGGAAAGCCCCGAGGGGAGGGCCCAGGTTGGGGCCACCTCACTCTCGGTTCCCAGCCAGTGACAGGGTGCTGCCTTGAGAACAAATAAGAGAAGCATCTGTGAGGAAAACAAGCCAACGACGTGGGGAAGAACGTGTTTCTACAGACTCTGGAGCAGCCGCGTCTGCACACGCTGAAGCGCTGCCCCCTCCAGGAGGCAGGGGCCCCCGAGTCCTATGGGGGTCCTCACGGAGCCCGTGCAGCAGGCAGGCCCGGGTGCGCCTCCCTGCTGGGCAGCCCGCTCCTTGTAGGGCATGTATGAAAAGGAGAAAGATTGTAAACAGAGTTTGTTTCTGCCCGCTTGGAGCTGGGGAAGGAAGCCAGACCCTTCACTGGGTGATGCTGGGAGGAGGAGTCTGCATGTTCCTCGTTTTTGGAGGGACAGTAGCAGAGAAGTGGGGTGCCGGCCGCAAGGATCAGTCTAACAACATCCCTTAAGTGTTTCCAGAAGAAACAAACAGACTGAGTCCAAGAAGGGTAAATTGCTGAGCAGTGCCCACCAACAGAACCTGATGCAGGCTGAGCGCTGCTGCCTGCTCCCACGGCCGCGCGGCCGCCTCCTGACAGCTTTCCTGACCTTCCACTGACTTTCCACAGGCCGCCCATCCTGTCACTCAGGAGCAGGGCGCCTGGAGCAGGGCCTCCCTGTTGGGGCTTTGGCGTTTTTCGTTTCCTGAGCATAAATGCACGTTTCCCTGGTTGGTGCCGACTTCCAGGAACCACATCGCAGGGATGGGATGTGCCCCGGGACGTGAGTCATTTGCACCCTCATGGAAGCCCCGACAAGATGAGGCTTCTCAGGACGGGCAGGGCCGGGGACTTGGACGCTGGCTAAGGGGCACGTCAGGTGTGAAAAGGGAAAGGACCCGACCCACGTTTAAAGGGCTGAGCCAGCTGCTGCGTGTTACTTCAGATTTGTGTGACGCTTCTTGACTGCCCCGGGTGAGGTGCTGTGAAGGACACACACAATGGAGGCGCCGGGCCAGTGATGTGTGGGTGCAGTGGGGGAGCCAGTCAGGGGTGAGGCCAGTCGCGCCCCACGCCCAGGGAGGTGTGGAGCCCCACGGTAGGTCCTGTGCCCTCAGCTCACGTGGGGCTTCGCTGTACCATGTAAACGAGGACAAATATGGTGACTGTGACA